GATCCTCCACATCTAGTTGGGCAACTAATGAAAAATTGGGAAGAGAGTATAGGATATTTTGAAGCCAGGCCTGGAAGTGGCTGTTTCACTTCTGCTCATATGTCATTGACCAGAATGGTCATACAGCCCCATCTAACTGCTAGAAAGGATAATCTTTCTGAGTACTGGGGGTGGATGGGTGGGTGGGGGTTAACAGAATGGGTGTGTGGGGGGAGAGTTACAGAATGGCAAATACTTACTACTATAACACATCATGTAGAAAAAGGCACTCTTTGTTAATGAATACTTTACCCAGAACCATGTATATTTAAAAACCCATCTGGTTTTTAAATGTATATTATTTAGATGTATATTATATACAGTATATAATAATATATATTTAGATATATATTTTATACATCTCATACAAGGAAAATAAAAAAATATCAGTGGCTTCCAAATGATGAGTTTCAAGACTATAGAGAATGGATGTTAAAAAAGGATGGAGGGGGCCTGCCCGATGGCGAAGCGGTTGAGTGCTGGGTTGCAAAGCTGCCCGCGGCCTCTGCGGCCGCCGATTGGATCCCCGGCTGCTCCCTGGCCACCAGAGGAGGGTCCCACATGGCTTGCAGACCTCTCCTGCTGCCCGCTGCTCCCCTCAGCAGTGTACTTCGGTCCTTCTGCCTGCTCTGCTCCCCGCTCTGGCTCTGGTGAATTCTCTCACCCTCTCGCGCTTCTGACTACCCAGTGCATGTACAAACAAACAAACAAACAAATAAATAAATAAATAAATAAAAATACATGCCTCTTTAAAGAAAAAAAAAAAAAAGGATGGAGGGCCTCCCCAGTGGCGCAGCAGTTTGAGTGAAGCACCGTGAAACTGTCTGCAGCCTCTGCAGCAAGGGTTCGATTCCCAGTGAGCCAGGGAGATACCCACATGGTGAGGCAGACCTCTCCTGCCTTGCCTGCTGCTCCCCTCAGCAGTGTTTTCAGTCTGTCTGCCTATTCTGCTCCCCGCTCTGTCTCTGGTGAATTCTCTTGCCCTCCTGCACCTCTGGCCTGTACCCCAGTTCTTGTATAAATAAATAAATAAATCTTTTTTAAAAAAGGATGGAATTTGGAATTAGAACATATCTGTGTTCAAATTCCAGTGCTACCATTAGCTGGCCAACAAACATGCTGGTAGTATAATCTTAGGAAAGATGCTTGAACTTGTGGTGTCCTCAGGAATTGTTGCAGGGTATAAATGAGGCAATAAATCTTACATCAGTGCAAATGCTCAGTGACAGGAGGGGTTATATCATATATGCACATGACATCATTGCAGACTTTCCCCCTACCTTCTACTTTGAGTCTACCTACCAACCAAATTTTCTAATAGCAGAGAGTAAATTGTATAATATTTTTCCAGAGTTATTGCAAAATGAAATTCTTTCCCGTGTTCATATCTGTTAAGAGTTGAGTTCTATACACAAACACAGGCCCCAGTCACATAGTCCCTCAGAATGTGATCTTATTTGGAAATAAGGTCACTGCAGATGTAATTAGTTAAGTTGATGTCATACTAGAGGAAGGGAGACTCTTAATTCAACATGACTGGTGTCCTCACATCAAGGAAAATTTGGGGATGCGTGCACATAGGCCAAGAAAGGCCAAAAATTGCCAGCAAACTACCAGGAGCTAGGGGAGAACCTAGAACAGATTCTCCCTACAGCCCTTCAAACAAACCAACTAAGCTAACACATTGATTCAAACCTGGGTATTGCTTAAGTCACCCAGTTTGTGGTACTTTAATATGACAATCCTAGCAAACCAACATGATATCCAAGCAACTGTCAACTCAAATATACTAGATTTCATTTTAAAATTGTATGGTGCTTACATTTAAAATGTAAAATTCTAATTTCAGCAAATTTCCAATACAAATTATTCATTTAGTGATTCAACTGTTTTTGAGTTACAAAAACAGCAATTCCATATGGTTCATCCTAAGATCCATATAACTACTAGCTTTTATTGCTGTTTGCTTCATTAGTGACCCATCTCTGGATGTAGATTAATTAATATTACATAGGTTACCAGCTTTATGCCTTGGCCAAGTCCCATACATGCCCTGAACCTTTTCTCCTCTAAAAAATAAGCCTATATGCCTTCTAATAGGACACCCGTCCATCTAATCAGACTTTATGGCCCATGGTCCAGACATGTTAAAAGCAATGCTGCTTACAGAAATCAGTTCTGCCCATATATTTAAGGGCAATATTAAAAGTGAGTGTCCCAGAAAATTATATATTCAAAGTGAAAAAACTGCATTTGTTGAAAGTCTGTCACCATTTAGAATGCATAATTTTAGCATAAATACTCTTGAAACATTCATTTAGTTTGCTCTGTGTTACTGTTAATAAAGGGTGTCCTCCATCTAGATTTGTCATATGTCATTAATAAATCAACCACATAATGCAGATTATAATTATTATAAGTTATCTATTTACTGTTTAATTATTTTTAATTTTAGACTCTCCTAAAATAGCATAATAAAAATTTGAAATTCTAAATGACTGCTTCATCTGCTTACTCTGTGTATTTGCTGAAAATAATTAGTTAAATTAATTCTTTGGAAGATTTCTTCTCCCTTAAAAAATTAATCTGGGTGAGAATGAACCTAAATAAAATATCCCAAAATATACATTTCTTTTAGCCAGAGTAGTAGCAAAATGGTGTTTGCATTAAAATCAATAAGGCAAACCTTTGTATGCTATCATGGAACCAATTTCTTATAATTATTTGTCATAATGACTAAATAAAAGTATCATCAGTACTACCCTTAGTCCACAGCAGGAAGGCTCTTTCTCTGGCTTCTGTACATCATCATAGAGGCTTTTCTGGTAATGTCACTTAACACAAGCCAAGGCAGCCCCAGGGCCAGGGGACATTGTTGTCTTCTAGTCCACTTCCAGACTCACACACATCTCCTCTAGTATACCCACCACACTGACATTCCCTGCTCAGAAGGACCCAAGCGCCTTTCCAAAGTACATAAGTGCACTCACCTTTAGGCCTGAGGCATGGTGAAAAGGAGGCTAAGATGGTGATGAGGACAGAGGTGGGACTTGTAGACTGCGGGGAGACATATTCCCATTTTCAGTGTAGAAGTCTGAGGTGTTGGCTGAGTGGGAAATAATTTGGTGCACTGAGAAGAAGAGAGAGAACTGAACTGACTGGCTTTCCAGGTTCTTATGAAGGTACTTTGGACAAGATAGGATAAGATTACCTATTTTTATCTAAAGTTTGTCATTTTGATTTATAGTTTTTAAATACTTTTGAAAGATGGTATGAGGGTCTCCATTTGTACTCTTGTCCTGGACCTGGCAAAGTGGAGGAAAGACTGAGTAATACCATAATTTTATATTGTTGACCATTGAGTGGTGCATCTCTCCTGCAAATGATCAATTTATTAAGTTTAAATAACACCTTGCACATAAGTAAATGCAATTAATGACTGAGACAAGAAACCATAGAAGAATAAGAGACTAAAGAAACATTATAGTTGCTTTTTTGTTTGCTTGTTTGTTTCCTTTCCTGCCCTTTGGGTTTTAGAACATGGTTGTCTTTCTTCAGCAAACTTTCCTCCCAAGTTAGGGTGATGATGATAACGATGAAGAAGAAAACTGATGCTTATTATGTGTTGGACCCTCTTATAAACACTTACACACATAATTAATGTAATGATTGAAAAATGGCGCTGATGAGTCCTAGCAGCCTCCCCATTTTTACATATGAAGAACCCCAAGCTTCTGGAGGGGTGACTTGCTCAGGATCACAGAGGAGGCAGAAGACAAGAACATTTGAGTCCAGGCAGTCAAACGCCAGAATCCCTGCTGAAAGTTTCTACACAGTGTTTGTCCACTGAGCTATGTCCGCACAAACAAGTATCTGCTTCATAAACAAATAGTTAGCAACGTTCCCTTTTCACCAATCAGTAATGTGTCACCGATAGCCAAGGCAAAAGGATGAGGGCCTGAGTCTTGTCTTGAGATGTTTGAAAGGGCGGCTGGGGAGAGAGATTCAAGATCTCCTCTGTCCTCCTCAGCCCACCACAGCTTTTATTAGCAGAAACAACAAAGTTAGAAAGTAAGATACAGGATAAGCAGAACTACAGAACAATGATTTATTTTCTTATTTCTTAGTATTCAGCACTGTTCTGACACACATTCACGGTCAAGGGTCTGCATAATCAAATTGCTCTTTTCTCACGCTCAGTTTCGCTGATCCAAGGACGGACATCATGGTCTGCACACGGGTCAGCTTTCTGGCCCATGCTGACCAGCATTCCCACAATCTCAATGGCCTTCTTGTTTCAGGACTGCAGGTTCCTGGGGTCTCCAACAGTAATGTGACCTGCAGCATTAACCGCAGAGTTAAAGTCACCAGAGATTTTCCAGTAATGGGTTGTTCTACAGACAGGGTTAAGCATAGCTGCTTAGTGTTTTGGGTTTTGTCTTTCTGTGGTGTTTTGTTTTGAAGTGCTGGTAAGGAAATAAAAGCTTAGCACAGTGCCTGGCACTCAGCGAAACCTGGGGAGACAGGGGCCAAGAGGTGGTGAGATGAAAGGAAAGAATACACTTTGTAAAATTAATGCTGTTTGAGACTGAAGGAGAAAATGATCACGTGAATTGCTCAGTCAAGCTCCATCCTCTACCCAAAAGGGGGGGGTGGGGCGATAAGAAACCGACTTCTGACTTTTCCGTGAGAAGTGCCTGTCTGCTGGCGGGCTAGAGCGTCTCCAGTGTGAATTCCGAAGGATGAGGCGAAGGGAGCCGGAAGAGTCAGGCAGGAGACGACCCGCGCCGAGCCTAGAGCAAGGGCAGCCCAGCACCGCAGAGGTGCTTCGTTCTGCCCTCTTGGGATGACTGGCGTCCCTTCCCGCCCCGCCCCTCCACGGCGCCCCGCCCCTTTACTGCCTCCCGCCCCGCCCACTCGCGGCGCCCCGCCCCCGCCCCGCCCCTTGCTTGCGGCTGCTGCCGTGTTTACCCGCGGTGCATGGTGGGGCGGTCGCCTTGGACAACTCGGTCCCGCTGAAGTCCGGAGGTAGAGCGTAGCCAGCCGGGCGGCGGCATGCACCCAGCCGCCGCAACGTCCGTGCCCCAGACGAGTCCCGACTACTACGAGAGGCTGGGCCACCTCCAGCAAGGGCTGAGGGACAGGTACGGCCTACCCGGGGCGGGGACGGGAGTCGGCCCGCGACGCGGGTTTGCTGGTGCCTTACCCCTGTTACTTCTCCTGTGGGCCGCGTTGTCTCGCCAGGTGCCCAGGCTCCCGCTGGGGCCTCGACCACAGGTTACCATAGACTCCTGGCTGATTGGAAGCCTCCAGCTGGAGGATGGGGCCCGCATCACTGAATTTGCCTTCCAGCCTGTCACTTTCAATCAAGCCTGGTGAATTTCTCTAGTGCGTTTTACACGCCTCCTCCCCAGTCTCTTAAAATTATCATTTGTCATCCCACCTGACAGTTACAGTGCAAGGTACTGAGAGAGAGAGAGAGAGAGAAAATGTCAAACATATGTCCCTATTTAAATGCAGGAGACTTTGGGGGGGCCAGATTGCCAACGAAGAGTTGACATTTCTAGCCGGAGTTCAGCTTCCACAGGGTTCATAATGCCTTGATTAAGATATGAAATATGAGAACCACTGAAAACAGCTAGATCTAAGAAACATAGAGAAAATTATAACGCTATTTACTATAATCACAGGAAAGCTGAGTTGTTGAAACTATTATTTAGCCGCTAAACTAGGTGGAATTGGAAATCTCATTTGTTGAAATAGATTTTCGGAAATAGATTTTTGGATCTCTTGATAAACGACACATTTAGTGAGTGTTAAAAGTTACAAAATCATTTTAGTGAAGGGGACAGCTATATATGTGACAATTCAAAAGTAACATTAAGGGAAAGGCAGAAGTGAATGGTTTTGAAAAGGAATTATTTTCATCTTATGCCAGATTTAATTCTTGTCAAATATTTAAAAAATATCTACAACAGACCTCAATTGTCCTCATCATACTTTACCCCTTAATTCTTTTATACATCTTTTTTTTTTTTTTGACATACCACCACTCACCTAACCCAGTGAATTCCTACCTCCAACTTTAAAAAAATAATTACTTCCTGTGGTGCCTTTGCTGTGTCTTCAAGTATTGTTCAACCCATTCCTTAACTTAAGCTACCTCAGCATTCTTACAGCACTCTAATGGTAAGTTACTTGTTCCCTGCCTAGACTGAGGATTCCTATGGGAAAGGAACCACATTTAGTTGGTTCTTAATCTCTTAATAGGATGTCTGAAGTGGAGGAGGTGTTTGATAAATGTTGGTTGAATGACTGGAAAAAAAAATCCCAAAGTCAACCAGCATTTTGCAGAATTTATTAATTTCTTATATAGAACCTAGTAGTCATACACTGTCCCTTAATAATGACCATTTTCCAGAAACCAGGAAAAGTGGATAGTGTGATATTTCAAAGATGGTATTAAATATCCATGCATATCTGATAATTAAAAGACAGACTTTGCTCTGTGCATCAGTATAGTTCAAGTTTTGACTCTGTTCTGTTAGAAGAGTAGCTTATTCTTAGTTACTCCCAGGCCTTTAAGTTATTTGTATCTTTTAGCTCAAGCACTGATTTAAAAATGTTAACTGGTTCAAATGGCATTCTTTTTTGACCTAAGTTAATTGTGAGTTAGCATATTTGCTTACTGTGTGGGCAACACCTGGCTGTTTTATAGTCCTTATGGTATAATAACTGTGTAATGATTATTACTCACTTTATATTTAATACTTATTGCTTTAATTATAAAGCAAGATGAAGCTGTTGAAATTATGTAAGGAATTTGAACCAAATTTTATAGCCTATTCATCATGGTTCTGCATTTGAAAGTTAGTTTTGCTTTTAAATCAGTATAAATCTTTGCTGTGTGTATTCATTTTTCACTTAAAAAGTCCATAACTAACTCTAGTGCATTGCTAGTAAATATAGAAGCAAATAACTTTGGATACAGAGAAAACTGTAGTAGAGATGTGGAAACTTGGCTTCTAGTCCAGGAACAGTTGTGTGACCCTGTGCAGGTTGTTCAGCTTCTCTAAACCTTGGTTCTTTACCAGAAATGAGGGGCCTTGACTAATATGTAAAGTAAGTCCACAAATTTTTGTTTCTTTGCTTCTGTAGTAATGAGTCTCAAGGTATAAAAACATTGACTGTTGTAGTTTTGCAAAGTAACAAGTAATGAATATCATTGTCCTATTTGAAGGTATTTGGTTTTTTCCAACCAATTCCAGTGACCACAAGGACCATTTTCCCCTAAAATTCCAGAGTCACTTCAAAGACTGCTGCTCTGAGTAGTCACAGCTGCCTTATCAGTCCAGAAATTACCAGAGAGTGAAAGATATCATAACACTTGCCTTTCCTGGCCTTCTTAGAGGAGGGTCTTTAAACTGTTAGCTAGTCTAATGATTTTTCCCTTGTAACTGGTATGTTTCTTGTTCAAGTTGTTGTAGGATATAATTTTATATCCTCAATATGATTACAATGGTTCACTGAATTGTGGTCAGTGAATCTAAGAGAGCCTGATGGAATGGTTTGTTCAGGTGTGCATAGTGCCACAAGCATGGCAGAAACATTTAAGTAGAATTGACACTTGCAATTATATAAAAACATCCCTTTAAAAGGCCCATTAACCAGCTCCAGTTTTTTCAATGCCAGTATTAATTCGGGGTGGAAAAATAGTCCAGAAATCGACGTTAATATATTGAGTAAAGGTGAAGATGATATTGAGGCAAAAACAGAATAAGTGGCTTAAAAGGAAAAACCTAACCCCATAACTACTGTCCAGCTGTGTAAAACTTTGAAAGAGGGTCAGGGGACTGAAACCTTAGACTATGAGTACACATCCTTGAGGTAGATATTTCAAATCTGAAATAGAGTTTTAATATGTAAGAACTGCAAGGTGATCCTTCTGTGGCTTTTTATTAGGATAAATATCTGGTGTTAAGTATTAAATTTAAAACAGATGTGAAAGAGGCACCATGTGGATGAGGCACCATGTGGAAGAGGTTAGAAATTGGGCTTGAAATGAAGTTAATGAAATTAACATTATTTCCCCTGGAATGGAATGCCAGGGGGTATTTGATTCTGGGTTTTCATTGTATAAAGCATCTTGATAGTGAAGAAATGTGACCAATGGATCTGTACCTATTGAAGGGAGAGCAAAAACAAGGAAAATTTATTTTTATTATTTAAGAGAACTTGCTGCTTATAGAAGGCAGTAGATTCCCAAAGTGACTGTGGTCCCTTTCACTATGAGTCATAGGTGAGTTTTAGAAATTATTTTGAAATAATTTCAAACTTTAAGTTTTAAGTATAGGACAAAGATCTCTAATATTCTCCTTACCCAGATTCCTCAGCTCTTAACTTTTCATTACATTTTATTTTTTCTCTTTCTATCTATCATCCTAGCTATCTAAAGTTATTTGTCTTTTCCGAAACATTTGAGAATGCAGGTATGCACCATCACTCCTAGTGTGTAGTTCCAAAGACCAAGGATATTCTCTTACATGATCACCATGGAACTTTCCAAACTAGGAAGTCCACATTGATATACCAGTCCGCAGACCCCAATCAAGTTCCACCACCTGTCGTACTATCTTTTTCCTTTTCTGGTCCAGAATTCCATCTGTGAACCCATGTTGCATGGGGTTGCCGTTGTCTCTTCAGTATCTCCCAGTCTGGAATTATTCCTCTGTCTTTCTCTGTCTCTCTCCTGTTCCTAGCAGTTATTCTCTAGCTGGGTTCATCTGATGGTTACTCATGGCCAGACTTTGGTCTTGCTTTCTTAGCAAGAATGACATCAGGGCGTAAGGTCATTTGCGCTTAAGGGTCTGTCTTCCCTTATAATCTAATGACAAATTGTGCATATTTCATTTTTCGTGGACTGAGTAGACAATTGATCATGAAACCTTGAAAGGGGGAAATGTGATTAATAAAAATTTCTAACATGGGAGCAATTATGCCTTATTCCCTTTACTTCTAAATTCAGCCTTATTAATGAGAAATACCTGTGTGAAGGTATTAACATTTTTTGTTTATATATCATTTTTCCTTTTTTTTTTTTTTGCATTTTTAACATAGACATACCCCAGCCAATGAAGAGATAGTGTTCCCCAAGCAAAGATTTGGTGTTTGGATTTGGGCCCCATTTTCCATTAAAAGAATTTTGGTTAAATGGTGCTTCCATTCTAGATTATGATAAGTAAAGAAACTTAACCTGTGATGTAATTAATAGAATAACTTTTTGAATTTTTTCATAAAGGGAAAAATATATATGAAGGAAAATAGAAAATACTAAGAGCTCCCAAGTAGAATGTGGCCTCAGTCCTTTTCCCATAGGAGGCCAACCTGAGCTTACCTTCTATTGGATTCCTTGCCTTTGATTCACAGTTTTTGCTTTATTTTAGCAATTTTCTCTCACACATTGTTACCTCATCTGGCCTTTATTAATTTGTATTAGCAATTTGGCTTCAGTTAGAGAGGATTGAGGCTACTGGTTTTATGGTGGCCAAGTAGAGCATTCTGTGGTTAAATTTCCCAAGGACTGTTTTTTGGGGTTTGGCATGGCTTCCTATTCAGTAGTTTAACCTTCTAGCCCATTGGTTTGCTGCTACATCCTCTGATCCCCAGTTTCCTCTACCTGTTGCTGAGGCAGCTGGGTGAGCTGAGTAAGCTTTGACGTCCAGCTTACTGCTGACACTTACCTAAGCATCATAGACTTTCTTTATTGGTAGTAGCTTCAGGGAATAGCAGTCAGTGACAAATCTAGCTGTTATAAAGTTGTATAAAGGAATTCCCCCAAATTTAAAATGACTGTGTTAGGGGACCTCTGGTCTTCACTAATTGTGAATGAGGCTAGATCTACTGTTCAGATACCTCTTCCTACATGGCTCTTCCTACCTGGATCATACTACCTCCTTCCAACCAGTCTGTCCCATTGGGAACAGAACAAGCCACTAGGCTTCAATTCAAGGTAGATTTGTGTCTAGACTTGGTGGAACACCCATTGCTCAAAATTCCAGCAACTCAGAGAAACCTGACCATCTCTCTTCTGCCTGTATTTCTTTTTAATCATCTGCCCTTTTTCTTAGAATATTACCCTGACAAGTGGAGTCCTTGGCTGGCTTGTTCACCAGATTAGTCTCAAGTCCTCCAATAGTTCTTGGCACTCAAGAAATACTTTCTGGGGCCTCCCCTGCTGGTGCAGCGGTTGAGCGCTGGGCTGCGAGGCGAGGGTCCCACAAAAAAAAAAAAAAAAAGAAAGAAAGAAATACTTTCTGAATGAATAAACCTTTTTTCCAGTCTTTCCTTTCTGCATTTCTCTATTTACTTTGAGTATCTTGGGTTTTTTGTTTCCTATCAGTATCTTTTTTTGCTTTTTAGACTGCCCTGGTGACTGCCAAGTATTTTTGTATCTTGAGATTCAAATGCAGCTGGCATTTTCTGTTTCTTAGACTAAAGAAATATTCTCACAAAGTTGTGATTTCAAAGGAGATCGTGTTCTAAATCTGACTGCCTATTTCTTATCAGTGCAATTATACATACAATATTTTCTTTCTGTATTACAGTGAAAAGAAGAGATTGGACCTGGAAAAGAAACTTTATGAATATAAGCAGTCTGATGTATGTAGGTAAGAGATGACAATGGTGACAACCATTTCAAAGCTAATTTGCATGTTAATAAAAACTTAACCCTAATTTGTATTATAAATACCATAATTACAATATTTTTACCATTTTCTTATTTCTAATGTGCCTCTTATTTTGCAACACTGTAATTTAATATTATTACTATCAAATGTAAGAATAAATTTGGTAAAAATTAGTATAAGAAAAATTCTCTTATTATTGATATTTATGTTATTTTAGGAATCTATTCTGCTTAATCTCTTAGGTGTAAGATACATTAAAGTCTTCTCTTTTTGGCCACAGCTTAAACACATGGAACCTATGGAGCAATTAAAGCATAATTAAAGGAACTGACCTTTCACAAATTGTAGAAAGTTATGTGGTGTCTTATTTATTCTTGGATATATGACAATGACTACTAATGTGATTATGATGGGTGGATAATATGCATGTTATCCTTTTTGATTACTTACTTTAACATTAAAATCTAACTTTTTAATGTCTTTAATTTTGTTTTATGAGAACTTATCAATATCTTTAAGTTAAATTTATAGTGTTACTTCCAATGTTATTCACATGAAAACTGTCTGGCTATGATAGCATTAAATTGTGATTTATCCACAATCATAATATGAGTGAGAAATGAGACTATCTCATCCAGAAGAGAAAGAAGCCAAGAATACTTTAAAACTATATCCCCCATCACATCCACTTACCTTTAAAATTATTTTTTGACTTTAAGATTTGTGATTCCATAGTTATCAGTCAGGGCAGATAGCCATATGTCTTTAATAACTCTGGAAGAGACTAGAGGAGCCACTGATATGGTAGAAGAACTAGCAGTGTTATGATGCCCTAGCCTTGGGTCCAAGTCTGAGAGGCTCCATGGCAGTTTCCATTTTTCTAGTATATAGCTAAAGGGCCAGAAGACAGTTTAGACTTTTCCTGCAACTGTTTTTGTACGCTTCCTGGCACGTGGTTGTGGTAAGGGTGGGAGTAAGAAAAGAAACTACCAGTTTGGTTCCCTTTCTTAGCCTCTTGTTTCCTGAAGACAGGATTTTCTAACATGGCTGTGTCAATCTGATTTTTCCCAAAGGAAGATTTTTTTTTAAATTATCATCTTAAGGGTAGAATTTAAGGCCTGTTGTTGATTATTTTTTAACATTTCTGGTACCTTTTGCAAATTTGTTTTTGAGGGTGAAGATTTTTGTGATTTTTAATTTATTTTTGCTTGATAAAAAAAGTCAAAATATTTATTGGGCCAATAATGGAAATCATACATACCTGGTACCCTTTTATTATTTAAATACTTGTAAAGGTAGAGCTAGAATTAGTGTTGGTTCCATGAGAAGAATGGAGGAATTATCCACTGTGTCTTTTAATCTTACACTTTGGAAGAGAGTGTCTAAAGATTTTTCACAATTTAAATGGAAGTATATAGTCCATATATTATTATAAAAGATGTTAATAATTTATTATGTTGTTGCAATTTCTAGAAAAAAGTTTTATACTATCTAAATAAGAGCTGCTTTGGTATTTTAAATTTCAAAATTTCTTAGTGTTGTGCATTATGGTTTATGGTTTGTTTCTATTTCATTATGAACAGGAAGTTTTGAAATTGCCTGTGATATAAAATAATGCTAATCTGCTACTCACCTGAACATGCCCACATAGACTCTGCTCTTGAAATTAATTTAATTTTGAGAAAGAAATCCATCTAAATCTCTACTATGTGAATGTTATAATGTGATCTTGTATACATTTTTCAGGAGAGTTATCCCTAGATATGATACCTCGGTGATGTTGCATTAATTTTCTCTCTAAAACATATGTATATGTTTTATCCTTTAGCTTTCAGTCAGTGTTTGGGTAAAGTATTTTAGAATACATCATCTCATTAACAATTTTGTTATAGAAAATTCTCCTTAGCTTTGTCAAAGTCTAACCTCACTGCATAATAATCTACTTTTATTTTTCTAGAATTAAACTGAAGTATGTGAAACTAAAGAAATACCTGAAGGAAATAAGTGATTCAGAAAAGAAGGCACGTATTCGAAATCAGGAATATTTGAAGCGGTTTGAGCGTTTCCAAGCTCATGTTGGACACTTTACCACAAATACAGAGAAGCTTCAAAAACTGAAGGTGACATCCTGTTTTGTACTTTTTAAAAATCTTTTTCATTGTTGTTGTTAAAATGGGAAACAGTGGGCAGTAAGGTTCAGATCACTAGCAATCACTAATGTTCAGTTGTTCTTCTATAAGATTAACTGAGAGTTTTCAACACCAATTACCACATGGCCAAATTTTGATAAGAGAACATGAAATTGTATTTTCTCAGATAGCTACTTGAGTTGAGGAATTGTTGGAATATCTATACTTTTACCAGATGCAGAATTAACTTAAAATAAGCATTGTCACTAACCAGTACCTGGCTTAGCACTAAGCATGTAGTATTTATTGTCTGTGATTGAGTTTGAGCAACATTAGACTTCCTGCCTTCATTAAAATAGCCTCTTTCTGTGGCCTGGGCTCCTGTGCCCTGGTCATGCAGTATGTTGGGGGAATAGAACTGGCTCCAACTAGTTAGTCTTCCTGCTCCTCAGTTTTACAGCCCTCTCTGATTCTGGCACGCCATTCCATTAAGGCACTTGGCAACCTTTTGCTTCATAAACCATACCAAGTATGAAGAGCCAGGCCTTTTTTTGGTTCCACCATTTGCACTGGTCAGGGGTTGCTGCCCAAGCTAACCCAACTGAATAAACTGAATACTGATTACTAAGGAGTTGGCTCTAGCCCCCACCCCTCTCGTTTTTTTCTGTTATCAGAATTTTAATAAATTCTGTTAATTAATATTGACATATCATTGATTTATAACATAGAGGTTTTAGATGTACAGACATGTATTTCAACATCAGTATATACTACATTATGCTCATCATCTAAGTCTGGTTCTCATCCATCACCATAGAATTGACCCTTTTTACCCAGTTTACTCCCCCCTCCCCCCCCAACTGCATCTTCCCTTCTGGTAACCACTGTTTTGTTCTTGGCAGTCAAAGAGCTTGTTTTCACTAATGTGTGGTAAATAAGTAAAATGAATGAACAAAACCCAACTTTTTTTTTTTTTAACACTAGTAGTTTACTCCCTGCCTTTATTGTAAAAATTTCAAGTATACAGAAAAATTAAAAGAATTATTATAATGAACATTCATGCTATGGTCTGAATGTTTGTATTCCTCCCATTCTCCACCCCATCCCCCATTAATATGCAAAATCCTAACTCCTAAAGGTAATGGTATTAGTAGGTGGGATCCTTGGGAGATAAAGTTCTCATGAATGGAATTACAAAAGGGCCTTGAGAAGAATCCCTACCCCTGTCTACCATGTTAAGACAGTGAGAAGACGGGGCCTCCCTGGTGATGCAGTGGTTGAGCACTGGGGTGGGAAGCTGCCGGAAGCCTCTACAGTGCCAGTTCCATCCCCGGCTGCTGGGCAAGAGTCCCACATGGTGCGCAGACCTCTCCTGCCGCCCTCTGCTCCCCTCAGCAGTGTACTTCATCAGTCTGCCTGTTCTGCTCTCCGCTCTGGCTCTGGTGAATTCTCTCACCCTCCTGTGCCTCTGACTGTACCCAGTGCTTTTATAAATAAATAAATCTTAAAAAAAAAAAAAAAAGACAGTGAGAAGGTGCCAACTATGAACCAGGAAAAAAGATCTCACCAGAAGGTGACCATGCTGCTGCCTTGAGATATATACACACACACTCATTTACTTTCAGTCTAAAACTATGGACAATACACTTCTGTTTATAAGCCACCCATTCAGTGATGTTTTGTTAGAGCAGCTCAAATGGACTAATACAATTTATATACTTTCTACCCACATGTAATAGTTGTACTACTTTGCTGTATTTGCCCTGTGTGTGCGTATGTGTGTTTTCCTGAAGCATTACAAGTATGTTACAGACACCATCACGTTTTTCCCTTTAAATACTTGAGTATATATCTCTTAAGAACAAGGATAGTCTCCTATATAATCATTATACTGTATCACACCTAGGAAAATTAGTAACAACTCCATAATATCATTTGATATCTAGCTGATATTTTAATTTTTCCAGTTCTCCCAAAAAGTCCCTTTATTTTTCCTGACCAGGAGTCAACTAGCATTTGCATATTACATTTGGTTATTGTGTCTTTTTAAATCTCTTACTCAAACTTTAGTATCCCATAGTCTTCCTCTTTTGAAGAAGGCAGTCCAACCATATAGAATGACTCACATTCTGAATTTAACTGGTTATTTCTCTGAGGTATCATTAAATTGTATAGCATCCCCTGTAATCCTGTAAACTGGGGATTTGGTGTAGACCAGCATTGCGTAATTGTTCCTCAATAGTCTTTTACCTAGTGATCTTAGAATCCATTGATGATATGCTATGAACATCATCATTCAAAATACCTTTCTCGGAACTCTCCTGCACTGTTGGTGGGAGTGCAAACTGGTCCAACCACTATGGAGAGCTGTGTGGAGATTTCTGGACCTACTAAACATAGAGCTTCCATATGATCCAGCAATTCCACTCCTAGGTATTTACCCAAAGGACACAGAAACATCAATTCCAAAGAGCACCTGCACCCCTATGTTTATAGCAGCACAATTTACAATAGCTAAGCTTTGGAAACAACCCAAATGCCCAAAAATAGATGACTGCATCAAGAAGATGTGGTACATATTCACCATGGAATATTACTCAGCATTCAAAAAAGATAAACACATGCAATTTGCAGCAACATGGATGGCGCTGGAAGGGATCATGCTCAGCAAAATAAGCCAGAAAGAAAAAGAAAAATACTGGATGGTCTCACTCATAGCAGGAATCTAGAAAACTTAAATAAGGGACCAGGAAATTGAATAACTATAAGAAAGTGAAAATCAAAATCAACAAAGAACTATGAACCAGAGACACTCTATGGGGGGTGGGGGGCGGGGAGGGGAGGGATTGGGGTCAAAATAAGGGGGTTGCAATTGTATGGGGAATATAAAAATAAAATTTATTATAAAAAAACAAAAAAAACAAAAAACAAAATACCTTTCTCATAAGATTTACATGATGTCTGCTTTAACCTCCCACGTTGAAGGGTCAGGCATGGGGTTAGCATATCAGGGACGTCAAGGAAGGTCCTCAAGTGGGAAAGGATAGTCTTATCTCTCTTCTGCTTGAAATCCTTGAGTGCTTGCTCAGCCTTATCAAAATAAAGCCCAGATGCTGGCCTGTATACAACCTTGATGCTTCAGCTTTATGACCCACTCACACCCCCACTCTCTCCAATACACTCGTACACAGTCTCTCACACAAGTACAGATGTATGCACATTTTCTCTCCCCAGTGTGTCCCCTTCCACCTTATCCCTCTGTCCCCATCTCTTCTTCATCTCTCCTTGCTCCTCTGTTGCTGTTTCTCTTGCTCCTACCCTCAGATCTTCCTACCACAGTCTCCTCCAGATTCACCATCTCTTCCCTTCTACTCTCTCCACTCCCATGTCTTCCTTTGTCTCTGTGTATCTTTATCTCCCACACATTTGTGTTCTCTTACACACACACAATTCATTCACTCACTCACATGTACCACCACATTATGAACATGTTGATTAATTTGTATTTCCTTGAAAGCACCACACTGTCTCCTGGGTCCTTCATTTAGAAGACCCCTCTCCCTCTGTCCAGCTTTAGATGTGTGTTTATCTCAGTAAACACGTCCTTTATGGTATTTTGTTTATGTGTCTATTTTCCCACCTCACCATGAGCTCCTTGTCTTATTATTTCAATGCGCACAGTATCTGATCTTTAATGTGGTACATAATAAGCACTCACTAAGCATTAAGACATCCCTGAAAATTAACTCTTCCATATTTTTTGTCTTGTTTTCTTTGCATCATGAATAGCCATGTGGAAACTACTGTGGTATTAATTATACCTTATGGTCTACCTTCCCAGAAATATTTGTGTTTAATAGCAGAGACATTTTGAAGATGCTGTTATTTAAAGATGCAATTTTTTTTGGGGGGGGAGAGAAATCAAATGTTTTTATTTTGTGTGTGTGTGTATTCTTTTTAAATTTTTTTTAATTAATATTTTATTTTATATAATTCTTACATCATTTTTCACTTTTGCACAATGTATGCATTTTCATTTTGGTTATATTCCCCATACAATTGCACCCCCCCCCCTTATTTTGACCCTAGTCCTTCCTCTCCCCTCCCCTCCCCCCACGCACTGTAGTGTGTCTCTGGTTTATAGTTGCTTGTTGATTTTTATTTTTACTTTGTATTAATTAGTTAAAAATGTAATTATTAATATTTACATCAAAAATGTATGTATTCTGACTACTGACTTCTGGAACTTTTTTTTCCTTAGACTTTATTTTTGCTGAGTTTCGAAATAACACATGCTCAGTAAAAAGTTTTGAGTATAGCAACGTGTCAAGAAGAAAACAAACATTTTGGTATATATTTTTCCCATCTTCTTTCTGTGTGACTGTGAGTGTGCACTGTGAGTGTGCATACATGTGTACATATAGAAAAACATACACATACACATATAAGTATCCTGATGCCATCTCAAAATGGTCCCCAGATTTTATTTTTTTTAAGATTTATTTTTACTTATTTATGCATACAAGAACTGGGGTTTAGGCCAGAGGTGTGGGGGTGTGTGAGAGGATTGACCAGAGACAGAGTAGGGAGCATAACAGGCAGATCCACTGAAATACACTGCTGAAGGAGCAGAGAGCAAAACAGGAGAGGTCTGCTACACCATGTCGCAGTGGCTAGTGATAGCTTGATAGTGTTGAGACTTTAACCCCTGTACCACCAGGGAGACCCCAGTCCCCCAGATTTATAGGCCTAAACAACTTAGAAGTTTCTTTGAGATGTTAAATCTGAGTCCCAGGCAGAATGGTGGCACTACCATCATTATGGTTTCAGCCTCCTTCTATATTCCTGCAATATTATTCTCAACCTCTAGTTTTTTCCTCATAGTCTCAGAGAGCTATTCAAGATCCAGCTATCACATCAATATTTCTGCCAGGAAAACGGAAATAGGAAGTAGTGGTCCTGCCCCTTCGTTTAAAGTATACATTAATCTT